AGCAGTCGCTAATAAAAAGAGGGTTGAAGGACTCACTTTTATTAGGGAATGAGGTTGATCTTTTGAATGATGTCTGCCTAGGATGTTGGGTCTTCTCAGTTATAGAAGATGCTGAAATTTCCGGCAGCAGAACAAGCATATGAGCAGTGGAGGATGATGCGTAGGGGCAGGAGAGTCGCTTCTGCGTTTTCAGATTCAGAATTTTGAAAAGAGAAGAGGAAAGAAAGGCTCTTAGTTTTCTCCTTGATATAAGCAAAATTTTCCCCATGTCTCAACAGCTTGGGCGGAGTTCAAGGGGTAGTAATGATGGCAGAGCCATCGTTTGGGAAATGTGCACACTTACTGCGCGCGATTGAATCTTTTGGACGGGATTCTGAAGCGGGTCACCTTCTCAAATTGGATCCTGGCCCGCGAACTATACCATCAGGCTTGCTCGATGCAGTATGGGCCGAGACTTGTCCAATTAACTTGGGTCAAGTCCAGGTTAGAATTACTTTGTGTCAAATTTTGTTTATTTCATATGACTAATACTTGACAGGGTCACTTTACGAGTCCATATCCACCATCTGTCTTGGACCGACCTATTCACCGAGTCCAAGGTCCAACCGACTCTGTAGAGGCAGTGCAAGAGTACTAAACCTAGTAAGATTCGGACTTCTCCTAGGTCTATAAATAAGGATAATTACTTTATAATTGAGATACGCTATCTCTAGCACCAATTCACATACACATACTTCTTCATAACCCCATTTTCTGACTTAAGAATCGGAGTGTCTATCCTCGGGAGACCCCCGAGGCTCTGTTTTACAGGTAACCCTAATTGGAGTTCCACGGTTAAGCCGGGAGTGCAATTCCAGGCTTCGTCAATTTCCAATGTCTTCCGCCACAGAAGGAGTCATTAGATCATTTGGAACATTCAAAACCTGAATCCAGAACGGAGCTTTATAAAATTTCATCTGAGAAAAATTGACAGAACCTTTGTATTCGAGGATAACCAGCAAATTCTTCCTAAAAGTCCAAGGAGCGCTCGCCACAACTCTTAGCTTGTCAGAGAGAAATTGAAAGTTGAGAATGAACTGATTCTTTCCGACCTTTTGAGATTCAATAGCACCTCTGAGAGCCCAATACCTATTCATTTCCTTCAGTAAGGCTTCACCCCTAAAAATCTTGGTAGAGAGGATTTTGATGACCAAACAGGAAAGGCCTTTGACAGCTAGGTCGACTGATTCAGGGATACGAATAGCTTTTGGGGCTTTGTTGTTCTCTGAGACAGAGAGATTTGCATAGCGGGAGGCTAAGTCATTGGCCATGGTGATAAAATGAAAGAGTACAGGCCAAGTGTATTTCAGAAGTAGAGCAGCCTGTGATGAGAAAACAGATCGAGAAGTGAGTATTAATAGAGACGAAGAGAACATTGGCTAGGGTTAAGCCATACCAGATAAAGATGAAATCATACAGCAACAGAAGAAGAAGATTATCACAAAAATTTCTAAAACAAAAAGGATAAAAAATGTAAATTTGCTTTTGATTATCATTAAAGAGCATCATGTAGTAATTATCAGGAACGAAAACCTGATGATGGTTATCTTTTTGGAAAATTAAAGAGATGAGAGACGGCTGCCAACAAAAAGATTTAGAGAGTAAACAAATAAAAGTTTTTGCTAAACGGATTGGAATCAAAAGGGAAGGAATTTGTTTGATGAAAACAGATCTTATCATGGATCGACCAAAGCAATCTCTAGGCATGCCTAGGATTGACGGGTAATGCATTGAAGCAAAGAGGCTCGTAGAGAGAAAAGTCTTCTTAGACAGAGAAGCTCTTGAGACTATAGCGTTAGTCGCGCGGTGCTGATTCATTAGTTGCAAATGTTTTGAAAAATGTTTATGAAAGTATTCTGATTTCTATGGAATTTCGAAATAAATAACATTATTATATTTTTGGTGAAAATTTAGAAATTTAAAATTTTACTAATGGAACTGCAGCCGCATGAATGTTAGATTTTGACAGCTTCCTTGTAAGAATAAACTCTTTAAATAAAAAAAAATTAATTTATTGTTAAATTAAAAATTTAATAATTTATTGATAATAAACTAATAACTCTTCTATACGTAATGAATTAAATATTTTAAGACTAACACTGTACTGTTTAAAAATGGATTTTGTATATCATTCCATGATTTATTTCTTTTCATTTTTCCCTTATTAACCCAAAACCGCACCACCAAGTCAACCTGGTTCGTCACCACCTACTAACCACGCGGATGGGGACAAAAAGAATATAATACTCCCTCTGGGGAGTAAAAAAAAGAAAGTACCTAGTAAAGCATGAAAGTATAGCTTGATCGGCTTCAATTGCTTATTCCTTGAAATATGACGCACAATTGAGGACATTTGTGTTTATATATATAATATAATATATATATATATATATATTTCGTTTCTTGTTTTTTTCGTTTTATGTCGTGCACGTGTTACTATTCCGTTTTACTGAATAAAAAATTAAATTTTTTTTTATAGAAATTTCAATATCAGTTATACCCCATTTATTTATTTTTTTAAATTGCAAAGTAAACGGAACGCAAATTGGTTTATTTGCTTGTACTGTCGGCAAGACCATTGGCGCTACACAAGAAGTCAATGTAACATTTCTTTAAAGAAAGAAGAAGAAGTCAAGGTAAACAGAGTTAATTAGTTATTAGAAACACAATTAAAATAAACACTCAGAAGCAACGAATTTTAAGCGAGAATACATGTTTCTGACTTTCTGTGAAAGAGAAATCAGAGTAAAAATTAAGGAAACACATCCTCTGAGCGAAAACAAAAAGTAGCAGCCATGATTTCAGAACAAGATTCTATCATGTCCTTGTTCTTCTTGCTTGTCTGTTTCTGTCCACTTCAACGTTGTTATGCGCTCAACAGCCATTTTACAGTTCCACAGCAAATCTTTCCACTTCATGGATTAATCAGCCTTCAATGCTTGTCAATAGCTCTGGATTTGCCAGTCATACGTTCAGCCCAATCCTGATGAGACTAAATGGTCCATCAGCATTTTACTGCGGCTTCTACTGTGTTCTTGACGACGGTGATGCGCCTGATTCTCCAGATTCTACAGACTGCATATTCTGTAACCAACAAAGGGAAAGAAGCTGCACATTCGGGGTCTTTATTGCCATAAACCAAAATCGCACTTTCTTTGATAATTTCATCCACTTTCCACAATTAGTGTGGTCAGCTAACAGGAACAATCCTGTTCCAGGGAATGCGACATCGCAGCTTAGCGAAGACGGGGACTTGATCCTGAAAAATTCAGATGGCACCCGGGTTTGGTCCAGCCGAACAGCAGGGAACTCAGTCGCCGGAATGAGCTTGACGGAAAAGGGAAATCTGGTTCTCTTTGGCAAAAACAGTGAGATCATTTGGCAATCTTTTGACCATCCCTCTGATGCCTTACTTCCAGGGCAGACGTTGTACAGAGGACAGATGCTGACAGCCAGTGTTTCAGCAACAAATTGGAGTGAAGGATCGTTTTATGTTTCTGTTGATTCCGAAGGTTTGGGTGCTTATGTAAACGCGAATCCACCTCAGAGATATTATTCCTTTGTCACTTATCACGGTTCTCCTTCTATGTATGTTTCAATAACCACTGGAAGCTTAATCTTCCAAAGCTTCCCACAGGATAGTATTTCATCAGCATCTCAATTCCTAAAGTTGGAGCCAGATGGGCGCTTGAAGGTTTTTCGAAATGGCGAAAATGGTTGGACAGAAGTCGAAGATCTCATACAAATAGATTCCGGACCCTGTGGCTACCCCCTGATGTGTGGAAATTATGGTGTCTGTTCGAAGGGGGGGCAGTGTACTTGTCTTAATATGACAAGTGGTGATCAAGGCAACTTTTTCATACAAAAGAAAGTTGCGCAACCAAATCTTGGATGTTCATTGGTCACCCCAATTTCGTGCAGTGATTCGCAATACCATATTCTTCTGCCGGTGAGCTACACGTATTACTTTTCTTTTAATCTATATGAACAGCAAACGTCTATAGATGACTGCCAAAAGCTTTGTCGGAGAAACTGTTCCTGCAAAGCTGCTGTTTTTGGAACAGAAGCCACCCGGGCTAGAAGACCTTTAACAAATGAAACTGGAAGTTGTTTATTATTAGATGAAGTCCTTTCTATTGCCAACAATGAAAATGGGATGGCATCACCATATAATACAACTCTATTTGTTAAGGTGCAAGTGCAACATCCTAAATATAGGAAGGTGGAAAGTCCTAACTATGCCAAGGTCTCAAGGCGTAAAATAAAAATACTGGCATCTACTGCTGTTACTATCTTCGGGGTGTTCTGTGTGATTGGATTTTGGCTTGTTTTTCTCAGGAAGCGAGATAATGAACTGAGTGAAATAGAAGAAGATTTTATAGAGCATGTACCAGGGATGCCTACCAGATATTCTTACAAAAACTTGAAAGCCACCACTGAAGGTTTTAGTAAAAAACTTGGGGAAGGAGGCTTTGGATCTGTTTATGAAGGAACGCTAAGCGATGGAACCAAAATAGCAGTCAAGTGCCTTGATGGCTTAGCAAAAGTGAGAGATTCCTTTCTTGTGGAAGTTAAGGCAATTGGAGGAATTCACCATGTAAATCTGGTGAAACTAAAAGGATTTTGTTTTGGGAAATCACACAGGCTTCTTGTGTATGAATATATGGCCAATAAATCCCTGGACAGATGGATCTTTCATGAAAACGAGGAAAACTATTGTCTTCCATGTCACATAAAGAAAAAAATCATCACAGATATAGCCAAGGGATTAGCCTACCTTCATGAAGAATGTAGTCCAAAAATAATTCACTTGGACATCAAGCCAGAAAACATCCTCTTGGATGAGAACTTCAATGCAAAAATTTCTGATTTTGGCCTCCCAAGCTGATTGAAAAGGATCAAAGCAGAGTCATCACGATGATGAGAGGAACGCCAGGATACTTGGCTCCTGAATGGTTGAGTGCTGCCATCACTGAAAAGGTGGATGTTTACAGCTTTGGCATAGTAATGTTGGAAATCATTTGTGGGAGGAAGAACCTGGACTGGTCTAGGATTGACGGAGAGAAACACTTGCTTGCTGTCTTTAAGGGGAAAGCTGAAGAAGGAAAACTCAAGGATTTGGTCGACAAGAGAAGTGAAGTCATGCAAGAGAACATTGAAGAAGCTGTGGAGATGATGAAGATTGCAGCATGGTGTCTGCAGGGTGATTTCACCAAAAGGCCGTCGATGTCTTTAGTGGTTAAGGTGCTAGAGGGATTAGTTGCAGCTGAAACCAACATTGAGTATGATTTCTTGCATCCAGCAGTTGTTACAAGAATATTGGAAGCTAGTGATCATCCAATGGAAAAAGCTGCTTTTGGTGATGGTTCAAAGGTGTTGCCTTCATCATTGTCAGGTCCAAGATAGATAAAAACCTCTTTCTCCCATAGTTCAACTTAATACTCATATACTTGGTTGTTCATTTTTATTACTATCATTCGTAGATGTTGCGACAGTAGTTTAATAAAGCCACTGTAAAGAGGCCATTTACCAATCATCTTTAGCTGCTTCCTTCTGTCTCTATTGAGGAGTAAACGCCTTCTCTTTGTAATTTCACCATTACTTTTTCTTCTTCCAACCTCCTCGTGAGAAGGAGAAGGAAGTTTTGCAAATAAAATTTTGGTTTCTCCTCTGCATTTCTTTCGCTGTGCCAGTGGCTAGTACAGCATTTGCTTGATTGGTAACATACCATATTTCTGAAATGGAACTTGGAAATCAAAATTTCTTTCTTCTACCTTGGCTTCTTTATGATACTTTCCTTCTCTGTTGTTTTTTTTTTTGGTAAACTTCCTTCGCTGTTGTTTATTGGTATGGAAACTTGTCATGTTTAATTGTATAAGCCAACATTAATTTCTTGGGGTAGTCATAGCATTATGAGAGCAGTAACAAAATCTTGGTTGGATGAGCCTTAAAATGTTCGTTTAGATGATATATTTTTGAATTTTTTCATTGATTTTAACAACCAAAACAACTGACCCTTCAAGATGACGGTATAAACCAAAAATCAAATGATTGAAATACGTAGAAGAAAGAAAAGTGAACAGATGAGCAGATTGACAAATCACTTTAGAGCTGTGACCCAGTCTAGTTACTTTTAATCGAGTGGTCCACTATTTATCAAAAGTTGAATTTTTTTTTTCCTTACAAAAAATAAAAGAGTAAGCCTCACTGTTGCAAGTAATCTTTGACTAGCCAGCCGTACGTTTTCCACCCATATAGAATTTACATCTTTGGAGCAGGACAGGCACCGCTAACAACGATAAATTTAATGACTCTTACGAAAGTGATTGTGCAGTATTTCTGAGGGGGATTCGTTGATATCTTAGGCTGTGCAAGCTCAAGTAAAGCCCAGAACATCCTTTGATATCAAAGCTGAAGCCATGATTTCTGGGCGAAAATTATATCATTTCCTTGTTCTTCTTTCCGCTTTGTTTCTTCTATCTTCTTCAACCTCTTTATATGCCCAACCATTGGATAATTTGACTGCGGAACTTTCAACTTTATGGTTTTGTAAGCCTTGAGACGACAGTGGGGCAATATTCAATGACAATGGAGGTTCTATCTCTGGCGGTTATACATTCAACGTCGTCCTAAGGAGGAGAAGGATTTTCTGCGGCTTCTACTGTAGTGTTGCTGAGAATTTATATTCTGGGGACTGCATTTTTGGAGTCGTCATTTGGCACATAGAATCTTTCCGATCGCCACAAGTCGTATGGTCTGCTAACAGGAACAATCCCGCTCAAGTGAATGCAACATATCAGCTCACCCAAGATGGAGATCTCATCTTGTCAAATTCCGATGGTACACCGATATGGTCTATCCAAACAAAAGGGAAGTCCGTTGCCGGAATGAACTTAACAGAAAGTGGAAATTTAGTGCTATTTGGCCAAAACAATGAGACCATTTGGCAGTCTTTTGATTATCCCACTGATTCCTTACTTCCAGGGCAGAGTTTGATATCAGGTCAGAGGCTGACAGCCTGCGTTTCAACGTCAAATTGGAGTGAAGTTTTGTTCTATCTTTCCTTTGATAGTGAGGGACAGGGTGCTTATATAAAATCTGATCCACCACAAAGATATTGACGAAGCATATGGATCTGCACCAATATTTCGGGTCGGTTGCTCCGTATGCCATGGCGGGCGTTGAAGCTCTAATACCTGCAAAAGAGGGCCTCGGGGTCTCCCCAGGGTAAACACTCTGATGCTTAAGTCAGTAAAAGTATTCGTAGAAGAAGTATATAGTTGGGGTGCATAGACTGTACCTTTAACCGTGAAGGGTTGATCCTTATTTATAGAGCTAGGTTATGGAACCCTTCCTTGATAAAAAAGTAATTAAGAACCGACCTAGAAACTTTCAGAGACCGGTTGAACCTTTCACCGAACTTGGGCCGGCTTAGTCGCGGGCCGTACTAATTTGGACTCGTCAAGTGCCCCTTATCAAACCTATACTTTGAAGTCTGAAGATAGGGTAGGCTTGATAACGTGAAGTATATAGTTTCCTCAAGTTCGGGAAAAACTGACTTGGATCGAGAACCTACGACAAGTTAGCATCGAGGAGAGATTAAAGCAATAAAAGCATTAGCGCGTACCTTTCTTGATGTGCATGTCACTTATAATGATTGACATCGAAGTCTGAGGAAGATGAAGTCACTAGTCCAGACTTTTAATCAAGAAAGTATTATGTGATGGTCTTCACAATCTGCATCAGAGAAATATCGAGGTGAATGCCCCGCTCCTTGAGAAGATTATAGAAGAAGAAGTAGTGGAGATTCTCACTATTTCAGATATAATGATGCGTTGTCAATAACCAGCAGAACAAGAGATCTGCTCGAAGATTACAATGCGCACTTCAGATTGAGAAGCATTAACTCCAAATCTCGAGAATAATGAATGAGAAGCGATATCAAATAATCTCGTGAATAGAGGCAAGAGATATGCCTAAATGAGGGTTGAACACATGAGTCTCGAAGACGTTGAGAAGATAAGCTCGAGAAGGAGACTTCTGTCAATACTATGTTGAGTACCAAGAGAGAAGATGTAATAAGACTGTGACTATTGACATTTGTCGTCAAAGACATAAGTTCGAGAAGAAATATAAGCTGGAGCTGCATGCCAAGAACTTGGCCCAAGATAATCTGTTGTCAAGAAGGAAACGTAGCGGAGATTCCCACTAGTATCAAAATATGCGCCATTAGCAGTGGCTAAGATATATCCACTATCGAGATGAGAAGTCCATTGGAGAACTGTGACATACGTTTCTGACTGAAAGGTAATAGATCTAAACCTTCTAGAAAAATCACTGTGTAGTGGATCGAGAAGCACCATGAATAAAGACAGAATATTCTATTGACACTCGATGTCGAGGACATGAGTTTGAGAAGGAACACTGTTTGCCGAGAACTTACCCCAATGTGACCTTCTATTAAGAAATCCAGAGATTTGAGAAGATTCTCTCGAGCAGAACTCCAGAAAGTACTCAAGAGTTGTAACTATTTGACCTTGAAGAAGGCGCACAAGCATTTAAGCTTATTTATATCTGCCCAACCGACCCGAATGCCCTTTCTTATATCCCGAGAAATAAAGCATAGAACCCTTAGTCTGGGTTTGAGAAGTATAAATCAGGTTGATGTGCCAAACCCGAGTAGATCTATAATGTCGTTGCCTGAGATTCGAGTAAGAATCGACGAGGTATTACGCATTAGTGTGAGAAGGAACGATGCCCCAGTCTGAGGACCGTCGAGAATAGTCACAGGAAGAGATCCGTAGACCAATAATCATCAAAAAAACAAAAACACAACCTCCCAAACACCTCCGAAACACCTTACACACCTTCCAGACACCTTACACACCTTACAGACGCCTTACAATCTTCCATATATAAACACTCCTCTTTATAAATAACTCCGGAGCCATTACTCATCTCGGAGCACCCAAGTCTTGGGGTGGTATTTGGCAAACCGAGACTTTAGATGAGAGCGTAATTCCTGCCGCGCAGTGCGAGGAGGTGCCTGATCAAGAAGTCCCCATACTCGTAGGGTTAAGGCAATAAAATAGCATCTGTCAGAAGGAGATGGATGGTAACCACCTTACAGAAGGAATAGGCCTATATTAACGAGGCACAAAGTGAATTCAAGAACATCGAGAATAAAGTCATTTTTATTCTGATGTATTGGATGATATGATAGATCGATCCAAGAAAGTATACTCGAGAACAAGTCTAGTCCTCATTGAGGTTTAAAACATATGTGTTTAGGTTCGAGGGATAGTCCACCCATTGTTCATGAACATGAAAATCTAGGCCTTTCTCAATACCGGATGTCAAGTACACGGTTTATGAGTTATTTGTAAAGCGCTTATAATGGCCGGATGTTAAGTACACGGCTCTTTTGCAGGCAATCCTGAAGAGGATACCTTTGTACAGACGATTCTGAAGAGAATGTCTTTTTAAGGATGATCCTGAAGAGGATATCCTCGAGGAAACTGGGTACGGGTTCCTCGAATACAGACGATTCTGAAGAGAATGTCTTCTTAAGGATGATCCTGAAGAGGATATCCATTCAAGTGACTAGTCATGTTTAAATGGGTGTAATTGCGTATATGAGATATAACAGCTCCCATGAGTACTCGAGTGGGCTATCACTATGTGTATTAGACTGATAATCTATATCCCGGGTTTAAAGTATGAACACTCTAAGGTCAGAGCGAGAGTTACGTATCTCTGCTTATTTTGCCTCAGAGTTCTCGGGGTATGCTTGTCCAGTAGCTTAGTCCAAGACATGTATTGCAAGTATAATAATAATGACATGCCGACTGAAAGATAGTGAGAAGTTCCATCTAATAAGCGCATAAAGGCTCTCGGACCTTGATAGTGTATATATGGGCTCCTCGATCGAGGATGCGTATTCAAAGAGATCATTCTAGTGTACCTTAGTTTCGAGGAAGTATTCGTCTGAATCCTTTCATGGCAATTGTCGAGAACAGATCATTCTGATGATGATGACTCTCGAGCGCAAACACCATTAGAAGCCCAGATGGTTCTCTGATCCCTACAAAACAACTACTCATGCACTTGTAGATTTATTAGTGAGTAATAAATTATCATAGCACGAGAAATGGCGTGGAATACAATATACTATTGATGGACTCTGCCTCCTTAAAAAATAGCCATTATAAGATATAAAATGTAAGAAGCGGAAAGATCTCACCATGATATGAGCAAGGCTATTGAAGCGATGGTTTGCTTAGCTCACAACAGCTATGAAAGAATGTTGGAGACCGCTGAAGAGTCATAGAGATTTGTCATGGAGCTTGACCATCATATGTGAAAGTCTTTGCGGCTTCGCGATAGCAAGTTCGAGCTAGTTGTTCGGTAGAGTATGTACAACGATCCACTGCAACTCAGGGCTTAAGGAAGAGGAACCATCCTGCACTATGACCTTTAGAGCATATTACCGACAATTGTAAGTAAGAGAGGGGGATCTACCCCCTTTGAAAAGAAAGGAAATGAACATGACTTTGTGAAAAGTAAACAAAGCCAGATATTTATAAAAGGTGTGGCATCATGCTTCATGACTAAGGTAAGATGATGCAAGTAATAAGTCATGCATCTGAGAAAGAATTTTCGTGCAAGCAGTTCCATGTGAAAGTTCGAGGACACTAAAGAGGTCCAAGAAACACATATGTGTAATGTGTCATAATATGAATGCAAGAACAATTATTTCATGCTTATGAACTATCGTAACATTCATGTTATAATGCACATGTTCATATACTGAAGCAATTATAAGGAGATCGTATCACTTATCTGTTGGAACTCTTCCAGGGGTATCCACAGGTCAGAGTAGCAATACCCACTTGTCAAGGAACTCCTCATCATTGTTGTCAAAGCTCATTCTTGACGTGCACCGTATATTGATCTTTTGTTTGTTCGAGTCTACTGTGGCCTGATTACAATTTGGCATCATAGAGGGGCTATCTCCGTTCTCATATTTCTGCAAGTTCTGCAAAAATAAGTAGAAGTTCTCCCGAAAATCGAGTATGCCGTTATGATAGAAGACCTTACATTAGTGTTCTCAAGATCATGGATCAACAACTTTTCGTGAAGTATGGAGGCAAATAATATGATGTGCTATTATCGAGACCTAGATCGTAGATAGCAATCAAACTCCGCTCGAGAAAGCATAGGTGTCATGTCTATGATTCTATCTTAAGAATTGATGCATGTGAGGGCTAGATAATGGCTTATCATAAATGTAATGATACAAAAACTAGCAAATTCACACATTGCATGTATGGAGAATAGGTTAACGATTAACTTAGCCGATGATTTATAGTCTATGTGATTTGAGACATGATATCTTATGATATGCTATTTATGCAAGCAGATAATAGCCATAGAGCATGCAAATGTCAAGGAGATAACAAGACTTATCTTCCTTTTCGAGCAAGTCATTGCCCCTTGGAATGGGTTGCTTCGCAATTCGAGAAGGATGCTCTTCGAATTTTCTTGTTGTAAGACCTGCAAAACTAAGTAGCATAACTACGCCACGTTCGGGTAGTTTATTGTAACTACAAACATTTTGTTAGATCACCTCAAGGGAGGCACTGAGTAATTTAAAGAGCATAACCAAAATTTTTATTCGTTATAGAAGTCTAGTTAGGAATATGACAACATGACACGAGTAAGTTTAGAATTACTTATCTCCTTTCAAATCAGTTGAGGGGATTGTCTCCGCCCTTGTCATAGGGCTAATCTGTGTGATCACGACTGTATGTGCCCTCGATCCCTCGAAAAATCGAGCTATGCTTGCATAGCTGTTCACTTCGGACAAAACGTTAGTTGTTCTAATAATAAAGTAGTTGGACCCTTGGTGAGCATACAAGAATTGTGCACGGCGTAAAATGAAATAAGCATATGAATATCATGTTCTGATATAAGAATAGGGCAAGTAGTACCCTGAAATTGGTGAGCTGTGCATGGTATTCAATTTGTAATGTTATTGAAATACTATTCAAGAACCTTCATGCTTGATGTGATGGCAAAGAGGGATTGACTCATAAGTATGTAAGAAAACCTAATCAGGTAACATACAATCGACATGCTACTACTATGATTATGTAGCAACAATAGGCTCAGGGAGACCTAGTATGTGTATTTATGCATAAGGATGCTAGACATAAATTTGTCACCCTCAAACTGAATAAGTTCGGAAGGCAATGATGTATGACAAGAAATTATTTGTAATAAGAGGCTCAGATAACTTATCTGTCATTTAGCCTCTGCCTCGTGCAATTACATAGGAGTGGGTGTTACAGCGTGTGCTGCCGGAAATAACCGAGTAGCCTTGTACTCAAGTCTCGAGGAAGCCGCGTCCCCCGTCGAGGAGATGTAACCTTTGAGATATCAGGTCGCTCCTTACTATAAGGTTAGGACTTGTATGAAAAACAATGAAACCATTAGACGCAATAATGATAAATAATATCCGAGAGGGCTGAATCACAAATTTTGCTTAGTTTAAGAGAATTTTGTCCAAGTATGTCCTCTGATGGTCCAGGGGCTATTCTGCGCATTCAGAAGATTTAACGTCAGAGTATAAATAACAAAATCACTAAGGACCGTTTTATAATTTTCAGGAAATTTAGAATCCATGGCGAGCGGCTGCGACCGCTTGGATTTCTGCCGTGACTGGGGGCTTCATGGTCCTCGCTGGCTGATTTGCTCTTCGATCTTGTTTTATTTGAGGAGGCTGTGTAGTCTCTCGAACTAAGGTTGATGGGCAGTAATTTCCTTATTCAACCATAAACTCAAAGAAATCAAAGAAATCCAAACAAGGCAATAGAAGAATGACATTGATTCATCAAGACACGACTATATGCGTATATTATATTTAAAGTCTCAGGCTATACATGTTGCTAACGAGAACGTAATTTTTCTCGAATTATTATGATCTATAGATCTAGGTCAAAGAAATTGTATTCCCAAAATTCTGGAGGAGAAAGTCGAGTAATCGAGTATGTAAAGTGAAGTCATGTCATCGAGAGTCATACACATGTATATATAATCATCAATTTTTCAGGCACACCAGTCGAGCATGCACGTACACAAAAGAGATAAAATTATTGTGCTCGACAGATGATTTTTCTTAATAACTGATGTTAATATTAGATCAGAGGACAAAACCTGGGTGGTATATTGTAGTGTTTCTTTCGAACCTGAGAGCGTTGTGCTCGCGGTTGAACAACAAAGTATCTTCCTCTCGAACCCTTCCGAGCAATGGTATCAGGGTAGGCGGTCCCTTGGAGAAGATTTTAAACTCGAGCAACTTGTCTGGTGCCCCTTGCCTCGAAGTCATGAGGACCTGTATGTAAGCTTCCAAAAACCGTTGGGGCAAAATTCTGATAAGCTTATAAAATTCTGAATTGTTAGGTCAAGTTTGTTCACGAAATTTATCAAACTTGTCGAAACTTTCTCGGCGAAACAGATTCGTGCTTCTATTGTCTGTTTGCTTTTTGCTGGCGTTGCTCAAAGATCGAAGGATTAGTCAGATTTAAGATCCGATTAAAATTCATTATCAGATCTTCATACTTCTTAAGGCTTCACGTTTCATAAAAAGTGGGTGCGGAGCTGCTTGATGAGCTTCTCGCATGGATGGTAGAGGCTTTTTAGGAACTCTACACCAAAATAAACCAAAAGCAAAGAAAAGCAAGGAAGGGTGTGGCCTCCATAACAAGATGTTAAGTTTGCATATATTGGTGCTTAATTAATTCTTGTAACATGGTGCGCTTAATTAATTAATATCAGCTACCTACGACTTGTCTCTTAATTAGTCAGATAAGTGAAGTATATCAAATGCGTTCACTGTTCCAGAAGCAAGGTTTTTATCATGCAGCCACTTATATCATAATTTCAAAACACCAAACCTGGAAGCCAAAGATAGAGATATTGGGCGCAGCACCTTCGTCGGGAAGGAGAGAAACCCTAGCGGGTCCTACTGGGCGTGTCACTTGACGAAGCATGGATCTGCACCAATGTTTCAGGTCGGTTACTCCGTATGCCATGGCAGGCGTTGAAGCCCTAATACCTGTAAAAGAGGGTCTCGGGGTCTCTCGAGGGTAGACACTCCGATACTTAAGTCACTAAAAGTATTCTTAGAAGAAGTATATAGTTGAGGGCATAGACCGTATCTTTAACCGTGAAGGGTTGATCCTTATTTATAGAGTTAGGTTATAGAACCCTTTCTTGGTAGAAAAGTAATTAAGAACCGACTTAAAAGCTTCCAGAGACCGGTTGGACCTTTCACCGAACTTGGGCCGGCTTAGTCGGGGACCGTACTAATTTGGACTCGTCAGATATCATCTGTTTGAACCAGTTTTGTTTGATAGTTTGTACTATCAATGATACAATTTTCCAGTACAAAACCTCATCACCATCAACTCAATTCATGAAGCTGGGTCCAGATGGGCACTTAAAGGTATTTCAGTGGAGTGATTCAGATAGTGCTTGGACAGTCATCGGCGGTGTCATAAATAAAAGAGGGGGAGACTGTGGCTACCCCCTGGTTTGTGGAAAGTACGGTTTCTGTTCCGATGCTTCAGACGGCAGGCAATATAGTTGTCCGGAAAAGACAAGTGATCAAGGAAACTTCTTCAAAGAAGTAAATTTTCGACAACCAAATCTTGGTTGTTTATTGATCACCCCAATTTCCTGTGATCATTCCCAACATTATAGGCTTCTCGAGATGAACAACACTTATTACTTCGCTTTCCATTCAGTTAAACAGAAAATATTACAGGAGGATTGTAAAAATCTTTGTTTAACAAACTGCTCCTGCAAAGCAGCTGCTTTTGCTAAATCCTATGGCCATCCGAAAAATGGGGGTGGCATATTAGTAAATGATGTCTACTCGATTGCTAACAATGACAAATTGGTGGCATCAGCTTACAACACTACTCTATATGTCAAAGTGCAACTCCCAAACACCGCAAGGCGTAAAGTAACTGTTCTGGTATCAATCTTTTCAGCTATATTGGGGGTGGTCTGTATGATCGGTACTTGTCTTGTTCTTTTCAGGAAGCAAAATAAGCAACAGAGTAACATCGAGGAGGATCTTTTTGACCAAGTACCAGGAATGCCTACAAGATACTCTTATGAGGACTTGAAAACAATTACTGAAGATTTTGGTGAGAAACTTGGGGAAGGAGGCTCTGGATCTGTTTATAAAGGGACACTAAGAGATGGAACAAAAGTAGCAGTCAAGTGTCTTGATGGCTTAGCAAAAGTGAAGGATTCATTTCTTGTGGAAGTTAAGGCAATTGGCAGCATTCAACATGTTAATTTGGTGAAATTGATTGGATTTTGTTTTGAGAAATCACACAGGCTTCTTGTGTATGAATACATGAACAACAGATCTCTGGAGGGATGGATCTTTAGTGGAAAGGGAAAAAACCACTGTCTTCCTTGGAAAGTTAGGTGATGCATCATATCAGATGTAGCTAAGGGATTAGCCAATCTTCATGAAGATTGCACTCAGAAAATTATACACTTGGATATCAAGCCACAAAATATCCTCTTGGATCAGAACTTCCAAGCCAAAATTTCTGATTTTGGACTCTCCAAGCTGATTGGAAAGGATCAAAGCAGAGTCATCACGATGATGAGAGGAACACCAGGATACATGGCTCCTGAATGGTTAACTGCAGCCATCACCGAAAAGGTGGATGTTTACAGCTTCGGCATAGTAATGATGGAAATCATTTGCGGGAGGAACAATGTCGATTGGTGAAGGAGTGAAGAAGACAGACACTTGCTTGCAGTCTTCAAGGAAAAAACCGAAAAAAGGAAACTGAAGGAATTGGTAGACGAGAGAAGTGAAGATATTCATGACAACACTGAGGAAGTTGTGGAGATGATGGAGATTGCAGCTTGGTGCCTGCAAAATGATTTCACCAAAAGACCTTCAATGTCTATAGTAGTTAAGGTGCTAGAGGGGTTTATTGCAGCGGAAACCAATCTCAGTTATGATTGGCAGCTAGTGATCCAATGGGTGGAGCTGCTTATGATAATGCTACCACTAAGTTGCCTTCAGCATTGTCAGGTCCAAGGTAGATCAAAATCCCTTCATCTCAGTTCAACGTGTCATTCGTATAGATTAATAAATGTTGTAGTTATATCATAGCTCATGAGAGGAAAGAGACATTTTATAAATCCTTTCTTTTTTGTTTTGTCGAATTTGTTCAAAAAATTGGAGGACAAAAAAATTTGATAGAAAAGCATAACAGAGGAGAAGCATGGACCATTTCTGAGCATCAATTCTTTCAGGGTTTGTTATCTAATTTGATCTTAACAAATGGTTTGATAAAATTATTAGAACATATGCAAGTCTTGAAGATGTATAATCAGAAAATCAACTGATTTGGAATGCAATATGGTCCGTGTTCAATTGGCGTACCTGGTTTAACCAAAAGTATATCTATACTATGTTTGTTTGAAGAAGTATATCTATTATAGAGTTTTTGATCAAAAAAATGGCCCAGAAATAGGAGAAAAGAGAAATATATGTCGAATTTTGGAGAAAAGCAAAATACCGACATTGGATTCCTAAAATTCGATTTTTATAGTATATCAGATTCTCAAAATCCGACCTTTTTTTAATACGAAAAATTAATTACAGTAATTAAGATTAAGAAAGGGCCGGATTTTCAAAATCCGATCTTGTCATATTAAAATATAATATTTTGAAGAAAAACACATAGTTTTTTTTTTTGAATTGAATTTGACCAAGGTTGGATTTTAGGAATCCGATTGTAACAAAAGGTCAGATTTTTGAAATCCGGGTAAGATTACATCGGATTTTGAGAATCCGGATAAGGTAAGTTCGGATTCTCAAAACCCGATGTCTTAGTAAAACAAGTGAAAGGTCGAATTTCAGAAATCCGACCTTGGGCAGAAACTTAGAAAAAAATAAAGGATTGGTTTCTAAACCAATCCCAACCTATCACAACAGCACCAAAACCAAATTTCACGTATAAAATTACCTGTAAACACATTCTAAACATATCGTAACAAACATTAACAAATTCAAAAGCATTCAAATTCCCAAATCAACCAAATTACAACTAATAAACATTAAAGAGTTTAAAATCATTAAAAATATCCAAATAACTCCTAATACACATCAAAGAGTCCTACAATTGAATTACTTGGACGACCTTTTCTTCCTTCTAGCCTCGACGCCGGAGTATACTTCTCGGCCGGTTTACTAACCCAATCACTCTTGCAAACCTCAACCGTTTTCTTTTTCTTTTGAGAAGAAACACGAGGTGGAGGGGACTCTTTTTCTTCTTCTTCTTCTTCTTCTTTTTCTTCTTCTTCTTCTTCTCCTTCACCCCCAATGTAGTAATCCCTATCGCTTTCATTGCCTTCATCATCTTCTTACATTGGAGTTGGATTGGGATGAACTATGATTGTTCAATTTGAAATTCCCTGTCGCTTCCTCCTTCCTCCTCCAGTAGGCTTCGATGTTGTTTTCTGCATGAGCACAACAGGGTGACTCAACTCCGGTGGTTTTTTCTAAAGAACCTGAGTATCGTTCTGAGTGCGCATATCACGTGGGCCCAAAGTCAGGGCACTGAAACTCTTGTCAAAGATTTGCAAGATTTTATCCTCTAGACTACCACCGAGGCCTGGATTTTCCCGTAAGGCTGCATCAGCGAGATGATATACGTCGTTGAGATTTGAAGACTGCAGAAAATTGAACCATGTTAATAAAGTATAAGATATAGCAAGAATTAAAAAATAGAAAAATTTTAAAATAAAATATCGACATATATCTTACATAAAATCTCTCCAGAGATGAAGACGAGTGATAACCCTGTGTCAGAGGGTCGTATTGAGTGGGATCAGTCATAAATCTGATAGTTTTCTTTTGAAACCACGGCATGTAGTCTGCTGTGCACTGAGGACCTAGTTCCGGATCAACCAATTCATGAGGGACCACGTGGTGATCTCTCACATTCCAATGAGGTCGTACCTCGGTGTGTTTTTGCACCCAATCATCATATGCCTTTCCAATCCCAAGACATCTGTGGTGTATCGCATTCCAGCGATCAATACTTTTGTCATTTCTTGCAAGAACACTTCTTCTCTTCATATTTCACAATGTACATGTTGTCCCCTTTACCACCAAGTCGGGCTCTACTTTTCCCCTAGAACTTGCCATTAATAGCATCATAACGGTTGACCTTGTGTTGCACGGCTTTCTTTTCTTTTTTCTTGAAGTCTTCCCACAAGTCAGTTGGGACCGGCGTAATACATTTCCTCGACTTCACGTATTCTTCCTGGAACAAATCCACAGTCTTAATAAAAGTGGCTTCCACCAAAGCTCGGATCGGCAAGAAACGAACGCGACGTTGTTGTAACTCTCAGAAATGTTGGTTGTCTGGTTACCCCAACGATAGTGTTTGTCTTTGGCAAGAGTCCACTGACAAGCATCAATCTCCTTGAGATACAAAAATGCATCATTGCTAAAATCTCGTAGCTCTTTCCTTAGTTCTTTGAATTTAGACTTTGAAAGTTTCGTGCCTATCTCCCAACACAATCTTTTGATCTTTTTACTTCGAAACCGTGCCACCAAGTTACCACGGACGTGACGAAGGCAAAACCGGTGGTATGCATTCCATTCGGGCATTAGGCGTATTGCACTGATGATACCCTTGTGCGATCGCATATAACACACACAGGACGGTCAGATACAACATGATTCCTCAAATGTTTCAGGAAGTATGACCAACTTTCCTCACTCTCTTCATCCACGATCGCATATGCCATTGGCAGGATGCGCTTATTCGCAGTTTTAACCATTGCAGTAAGTAATTTCCCTTTGTATCCGCCACGAGTGCGTCCCGCCGATACTAATCACCGGAGGACATTTAGCAAAACAATCAACTGCAGGCTTGAATGCCCAAAAAACGTATTTGAATGTCCTCTCTGTATGGGTCCACCCCGGTTGCCATTACCACTCTACAACTGTGCCGGGGTTGCTCTTCTCTAGGGCGGCGAAAAACCTAAATTAAAAAAAAGTTAATGCTTATTTTAAAAGTAAATTACAAACAAATCAAACAACTTAGATAAGACTTAAGTAAATACCTTGGAAGTATGTCAAAATTGGAAACCTAGTCGCCGTGAACAAGATCGATAGCTTTTCTCCTTCCCTCCCATGCCCTGTGGTAAGGAACATCGACATGTATACGGTCTTTCACTTCTTCCTGAACAAGCTTCACTTTATAATCCGGGTCCAACTCAACCTTATGCCTTATGAGATGAGCAATAAGCGTTGCGCTCATATTCCGATTATTATTTTCCTCGGTGACATTCATTCAATTGTGCTCGGGCACCCATTTCACAATCTTCCACAAACCGTGGTCTCTCAAGGAGGCACGTACCTTCCAACGGCAAGGAATATAACCCTTAGGGGTTGACTCTTTTAGGGACTTGTACCAAATATACCGTGTTGAACCATCACTTTCCTTCACATAAAACTCTCTCTTTTGCTCTATGTTCCATGCTACGATACCATTTTTTGCATCTTCCTTATTCTTAAAACAAGTCCCTATCCCGATTGTTGCGGTTGTCCTGTCCCACATGGTAAGTTGAAATTCATCCTTGTCCACTTTTGTATGATCCCATGTACCCTGTAAACGATATATGTGTCTGTCCTTTGTGGCGAATTTGTCTTCGACCTCTTCATCACTCTCCCGACTTCCTTCAAATATTGATTGGTTTTCATCGCTTTGATCACTTATCGATGTGTAGTCCTCATCATCTTCTGTGTGATTATCTTCCATGTGATTGCCATCCTCCATATTCAGTCCACCCACATCATCATCTTCCATGTAATCGACATTCTCCACATTCGGCTCACCACTACTTGTCCCTATTCCAAATAGGACCTAAAAGTACCCGCCACCTCCAAATCCACATACAAATCAATATATGTCAAATTTGGGAGGAAATACAACACTTGCAACGATGCGTCTTCCTTGATTTTGGCGATACACCTAAAACCATTGCCCATTGTATCATACAAAATCGATAGACTCAAATTCACATTCCCTCTATTCCACCCCACTCTTTCACAAATCAATCCAACCAAACCATTGTACAATACCTTATGATCAATCACCAAGGAATCATCCGGCATGTTGTTAAAAGTATTCACAATCCCATTCTTCACAACAAATTTGCTCGACCAATAGACATTAATGAAATATGGACCGTTAAACGCCATTTATATCTATTAATACACAAACAAGGCATTATCAAACAAATTATTATAACAATTACCACAACCAAGGCATAATCAACACTAAATTTACTAAACCCCCTACAAATTCAAAAGTTTATGCCAAATTCAAGCATTTTACTAAATTGAACGTTCAATACCACGTATACAACAACAATCATCAA